TTGAGTAGCACAAATCACTTTCCGTAGGAAATAATTCCGTAAAATTATGCCGACTAAATGCGAGAGTTAATCATATTCGAATAAGTGTATAATGACTGCGCCAGGTGAAGAGGCAGATGTGAAACTCTATGATAGAGGAGAGTACATTTACTATGCGTCCAGTCACTGTGAGCTTCAAGTAGACGAACAATCTGTAGCTTTTGAAATTTAAACCGATTTCACAGCTACAATGCGATTTTGTGCTTCATCGCAGCTGCCAAAATTAGACCGTCCTAAAATACAACTACGATTTTACGGTTGGTGAATGTACTGCGTACTTTTGTTTCACATATATCCTACCGTAACTAGACAGATCACATCCGAGTCAAAGTTTCTGAGGAACCCGGCCCTAACACACTTGGCCGCGACGGAGTTAAACTTCTATCTGCCATCATGTAAAACTTAGTGGAAGCACATCCGCAGCTGTCCGTGATTGCAAGAATATGCAGCTTTCTTTACCAAACTTGCAAGAGTTCTTGAAGAATTACGCGGCACATTTGGCACTGAAACCACAGACAGCACCGACATCCTGGAAAACGCGTACTGTTCCTTATTTTCTTCGGACAAAGTCGAGAGTGAGCTCCACCGACTACAGCGAGCTAGCACATTAGAACCCGTCCAGTATTCCGAATGGGAAGCACCTGTAATGCTTGTATTGAAGAGCGCTGATACCAAAAGGATCTGCAGTGGCTACAAGGTTACGGTCAGCCAGACACTACAACCGATGCCCACTACCAAACATTGAAGACATCTATTCTTCCCTCTCGTATGGCGAACATTTCACCAAACTAAACCTGAGTCACGCCTATCAACAGATCGAACTCGACGAAGACTCACGTGCTTACACCCTCATCGACACACACTTTGGATTATTTCGTTACATACGCATGCCTTTTGGCGCAACCTGTGCGCCAGCTATCTTCTAACGTATTACTGCCTCGTTGTTGAAAGACATACCAAATACTTGTGCTTACTTGGATGACATCTTGATCACTGGACGCACCACTGATGAAAACCTGCACACCTTGGATGTAGTTCCGCAAATATTGTCAGATTCCGGGCTTGGTTTCAAAAGAAATGTGTACGTCTTTTAGATTAAATGTGCGTTGCTTCGGATATCTGTTGTCACGAGATGGGCTACGCCCATCATAAGAAAAGACTATAGTACTACTTAATGCACCGGCACCCAAAAATGTGAACGAGTTGCGGCCGTTTCTGGTCGCGGTCACACAGCTTTCCTGATTCATGCCATCAGCGGCAACCTATTTTCACCCGCTTCATCAACTCTTACACAAAAATCAATCTTGACATTTAAACAGTTCAGGAAAGTGCTTTTAACGCCACGGTAGAAGTAAAGGACGTACAAACTGTTTTCGTACGCACAATTCCGGCTTGAGGTGGCGGATGTAGATAGATTTCGCAATAGACAGGAGATGCTTCCGGAATCCGCGCGAGAAACGTTCAGGAATAGTATAGATGGCTCTGAAATTGTTTTCCGTCCCTGAGTGATTACACTCTAGAAGGTGAGACAAGTTGGAGATCTTACTAGACCTCGCTTCGCATTTGTAAAACCACTTTGGGATGTGTTCGCGAATCCTATGACATAGGCGTCTCGTAGTACGACCCACGTATCGTGCATCACAGGAGCACGAGTAAAAATAAACAAGCATTGAGCGAATAAAGGCCTGTTTTAGAATACTATGCGTAGGTGAGCCGCGAAATAGGTTTTGTCATCAGCGTCTTTCAGGCGCTGGGACAGGGCATCAGCCGCACTGACGCCTTTGAAAGGAATATGCACAATTAGTTCTTTCTTAGGTATGTTAATCCCCGGTGGTATTACCTCGCGTTCTTTCAAATGTTTGAGGATGAATTTACCTGGATACCAATTCGCTCTTAGTGCGTCGCCGATCCTTTGCAATTCTTTGATGATTGTGTGTAGTGTGCAAATTCTATGTGCCCGGAAGGCAAGAGTGCGGGCTAGATTTCCTTTGTACTGTAGGGGCACCGCATATTCTTTTCAAAGACGACAGTCCGGCTGATGCCCTATCCAAGCGCCTGAAAGACGCTGATGACAAAACCTATTTCGTGGCTCACCTACGCATAGTATTTTACAACAGGCCTTTATTCTTAGAACCTTTGAAAGATAGGCTGCCTCCGGTGACTCGATCAGGGCTTGTTTATCTTTACTCGTGCTCCTGTGGTGCACGATACGTGAGTCGTACTACGAGACGCCTATCTCATAGGATTCGCCAACACATCCCGAAGTGGTTTTACAAATGCGAAGCGAGGTCTAGTAAGATTTCCAACTTGTCTCACCTTCTAGAGTGTAATCACTCAGGGACGGAAAACAATTTCAGAGCCATCTATACTATCCCTGAACGTTTCTCGCGCGGATTCCGGAAGCATCTCCTGTCTATTGCGGAATCTATCTACATCCGCCACCTCAAGCCGGAATTGTGCGTACGAAAACAGTTTGTACATCCTTTACTTCTACCGTGGCCTACAACTTCGGCTATGATTTCCCCTGTACATACTTTGCCACCTTCAACGACCCTGTGATTTATTGTTTTGTTCCTGTTGGAATTAAACATTCTGATCAATACGCAACCCAATCCAGCACATTTAACACTTGCTCGTCATCATGTATTGTTTGAGTCTGATAGGAATTACCGAACGGAATTCTTTACTCAGATTCTGACTCCCTTGAATCATTCTAATAAATGGGAATTTTTGGATTGCTGATGATCAGCATTCCCCGTCATTCACTCAAGCTCTTTTTGCTTACCGAAACATTGTTATCTACCCCAACGGTGGAAGCCGCACAGAATTATTTTTCGGCGTCGGTGGCATACACGCTTGGACTTATTGCACGGCACTCTTGGGACGAAGGTTTTCGAAAAACAAAATCGGGTAAAAAGACGCTCTGATACCGGCAGCAGAGACAGAGTCGTAGAAGAATCTGATCCCATTTATGTCCATTTACCCACAGATTCCGGGTGGCAACCAGACGTTGTCAAAGCAACCAACAGGCAAATCGTTGAAGCAGTAACTGAGGCCAGCAGAATTTCCAGATGCTATTTAGACCACGTGCGGAGCGACACCCTATCAGGCGCTTCCCTAGGTTGTGGATTGGGGAATACCTTCCTTGTGGTGGTACCTGCGAAGAAGTCCCGTTCGCTTTGCAGGCGAGATGAATAAGCAGTCGGGGACAATCAGCGACAGTGTCTCAGAGCGTGGAGAGTTCTGGCCTGGTCACCTGGTTCTCCGACAAATATCACAAAAGCTCGTACGGCGCTATGCCAAAGCTAGTGTGAACGGCTATAGGGTCACTGATCACTCCCTTCTGTAACGAGAGATGAGTACCTAAAGGAAGGTGGATGACAAATCTTGCCGGCCGCCGACTTCCATGTGAACTGCTCCAGGACACGAAAAAGGCGCATAAGCCACCTGGCTGCCAACGGTCTTCCTATTCAGCGACTTGCCTGAATCACCCGGCTGCGTTGCGGGTCAGGTCTTTACGATCAAAGGCTTAGGGTGGTGTCCCTTAAGTCAACACTCCCTCGCAACACATGTTCCCACCCAAACCTTTTTCTCATTACTTCTCTTCCCCCATTTTGTTGTTGTTAATGAGGTGTTGTGGCGCTTCGGCGATTCTTTATTCTTATTTTTATATATATATATATATATATATATATATATATATATATATATATATAAACTACGTGCGACCGTGACCGTTGACCTCGGAAGCGAGTGGTGAGTCAGAATTATAAACACTGACGCTGATTGATTCATACCTGGCCGACCCTGAATCACTACGGCTCCATAGGCTTCTACATCGTTCTATCCGCAAACGCAGGTTGGTGCATCGTTTTCAGGCCGGATAGTTCAAACCAATGAGAAAAGAAGTGACACACTATCAGGCGCTTGTCATGTGTGTGTGTGTGTGTGTACGGCCGGCTTTTGGCTTATCTGCCATAGCTCTTATTTACTGATTTAGGTTCACTGTCTGTGTGACCCACACGACTTTCGTCTGCGCAGCGTTCCCCTTTTGTTGTCCAGTTGTTCTTGCCGTCTACTCGAACAACCGTCCTACTGCGCAGCCGCGTTTTCTGATTTCGTCTCGGCGTAACAATCTATCATACTTTTACCCCGATCGTAATCACTTCAACAGTACTGTATTTGCCGAACGTCTGTTGTCTCCTTCGTGAGAACTGGTAACTGACCATGCTGCTCAAGCCACATACATTTGCCTCGGTGCAACCTCTACATGAGTTTTGTCGACTTTTTTCTGCTCTGCATGGTTAGGAGGATGCTGGATTTTGTTTCGCCCTGTGATCGGTTCCATGATGAAAGCGCACAGGAAAATTGCGCACAGCAGAGGCCAAAAGACATAAATTCGCACAGAAAATTGTCCACACAGGAGCACTCATATCTTAACTGCATCTCCAAACACTATTGATCAGAGACCATTTAATGCCATCCAGGGTCCCGCTCGGTGGGTGCAGTCACCAATCGCATAGGCAGGACAAGGCTAGCCACGAACTTGGTCTGTTTACCTATTTAGTTTCAGTCGCCGGTTCGTTGAGGCTTCGGTAAATTTCGCTAGGCGAGCAATGCTCAGTTTGATTAGTGTAGTATTTGAATCACACTGGTTTTGGCACCCAGCACATTACGGTACGTGTCGAGCGATTGAACTAGCGAACAACTTGGGTATTATTGGAACAATGCGCAGCTCTTGGGAGCGAAAGTTGATAGTGGCATTTTGTTAGTGCCACGAGTAAATAATTTGATAACTTGTGATGACTTTGGTAAAAAGTCAATTTTCCTTTGGATATTTTTGGTGTAGGCAATTTGTAAGGTGGGCATTCTTCCGTGTGTAGTTTCTTCCGGTCACCTATGTAATCACCCAGCTTCATATGTCTTTGCAATGCTTCATTCGCCCTTTTTTTCCTGCCAAGGTTTGATACGCCTTATCTTGAATGCCGTCTTCCAAAACCACCCTGATTCTGGCTCCTCGTCATTGGATTTCCTGCAGATCGATGACGACCATTTCGCCACAGAACTTAAGAATCAAGCGGATGCGTTCAGCTCACGCGCTTTTCAGCTATTCTCCTCTGCAATACTCATTGCTCGTCAGTTGTGTTTAGAGGACGTGCGCATAACAGGAATCTCCTACTCCCAGTGGTGGTCGGAGACCTTTTGCACCAAGTCATCCGACGGAGCGCATTCCATTTTACAATCTCAGGCGAGCATTGTTCTGTTGGCGGACTTACTTCTTGAACTTCTCCCATGGGAAAGCGATCCATGTTTGCTAAGCATCCAGTTACTTAATCAGCCGTCGCGTTCCACCCTACCTGCAGCTACCAAGAAAGCCGTAACCAAAGCAACCACTTCACATTCGGTGAGCAAGTCGGATTCTCAGGCAGACGTGCTAGACACAACAGACATTGTGTTTGGTGCCGATACATTGGCCGAATTGCAATCATTCGATGCGGCTTATCTGGCGTCATGTTGTCAGCGGTGGAATGACTACGTTGAGATTGGGCGCGGTCGTCTGGCCGAATTACGGGTAAGCACTCCCGAGCAACATACTTTACCAATCAGTATGACGTCTTTGGGTTACTGCCCTCGACCACCCTCACCCGAACCTTCTCTGTAATACCACGAGGTTCAACGCACCAGATTATTTACGAATGTATTGATGATGAGGGGATTTTTATGTAATTAATTGAGAGCTCGTTAGAACAGCTTCCAAATCTGATAGTCTCACACATGCCTGGTAAAGCACTGCACATCCATTTGAACCTCTTTGGTCCCGTCAATAGTGCGCATCCATCGACACCATCCGGACCAAAACACATGACCACAAGCGACTTGTACCGCCAGCCAGCAGCTTATGCTACTGAGCCACGAGGGCAGCGGCAGACCGCCACGATTTACACGTTAACTGTGATATAGCGCGTCTTATCCGCCTATATCATGCAAGTTACGAACGTTGGCATGAGCTGCTGACTGGCGATACAAATCGCTAATAATCATTAGGTTCTGATCCTGATGAATCCGATGGATGCGCACTGCTGGCGTGTCCCGATAGGACGAAGCGGCGATCTAGTGCTTAGCCAAGCATGTGGAGGACCATCTGATTTAGAAGCTACTGCGATGAACTCTCATTTATTCACACATGCTTTACTTACAAATAGATGAGCGGTGCTCGAAGCAAGTTGGTCTGTAAGTCACTGTCGTTGACAACTTAAACCTAACCTTTAAGCCAAGAGGGACACCGGCTAAAACTGGTCGCGCAGCACAATTTGTTGGAATGTCACTAGGATTTGTTGGTCGTGGAACAATTCTCCGACTCATGTCATTTCCGCGCCTACGTTCTCCAGTAAAAAGTGACTTGACGATCCATCGCACCGTTTGCATTACATGTTGTAACGCGCTTTCGTCGGACGACAACAAAACGCAAGCAACCACTGTGCTTCTCACCTCCCCATACATTACAGGCTGGTGAGTTTACATTGTGTTAATGTGAAGGTCATAACAAGCCTACAGATTGGTGTGCAATCTATCTTGTTGGTGTCGTTTTTCCTCGAACTTGTGTATTGCACCCAAACGATTCTACTTGACAACCTTTCGTTTTTCGTCCGTATTCTACCATGGATCAGTCGTCTGCTAACTGAAGAACTGATTACTAAGGGATCTGAAACAGTCTGTGTCCTCACCCGACTCCTATTCACCGATTGCTCACTAACGATCCTCACGAAAGGCTTTTATTGCAGGTCCATGGAAGACGACTGTTACGACCGAGTACCTCCACACACTTGTAATAACAAATGGACGACACTTCTGAATTTGAACCTGACTCATTCAACGCGAGCTCTGCTCTGCTGTTCTCTCGATTTCTACATGCTAACCTTAGAACCAACTATAGGACCACGCTTCTTTTCCTGCCTGCTCATCACATAGTTGTTAGGTCATTATTAGGCCCATTTTCTCTCCAGATTACCTCCGGATGTTCATACATATTCATCTCTCGAACGAGGCGCAGAGCGCTACCAGACGGGTCTTGTTCTCCAACCTTCTGTGTGGAGGGTGTGCGGCGGAAGTCTGTCACTACCTCTGTCCCAGCGATATCCAGCAGGGATCGTGTTGATCGCTCCGAATACCCGACATTGTCTGAGTTACGCACCAGTCTACGTCAGACCATACTTTGTGGATGGGAATATGATGTACCCACACACACAGTTTGTGAACTACCTAGCTTCTTTGGTACCTGATTATTCAATGGGATGCAGTTTTCTGCTGACCCATATTCACATTTTCACATTCTCAAACACACTTGCGATTCACCTCAACCTTTTTCGCTCTTCCTGCACTATAGGTGGTTGAGACTACAACTAGATTTGACAGCATTGTACTTCGACAACCAAATATCATAATATCGAAGAAGCACAAAGCGACTGTCTTCTCCTTCTGGCGTTATTTCGCAGTGGTCGCTCCCCTCATATCCTGGTGATTTCAAGTGCTGCACTCCATAGCTCTCTCTCTCCCAAGTTGACGACTTGTGATGTTGGGCCATATGTACTGGGGTGACCGACACGACTGAGCTACTGGCTAACGCGTGGCCACAGTAAGTGAGCAACGCATTCCTCCCTACAATAATGTGTCCTGGTCTCTCTCATCAGCTTTTCCTATGTCGCGCTTCAGAGCGAAGTTTTGGGTTAGGTGTCATTTGGTAATCTCTAGCAAGATCCCGTTAAACCGCATTTGGGTTCACACTGCATAACCACTGCACTAGTTCACGGCTGTTTGAGCGGCAGTCTGTTCGAGTATCGTATATCGTGTTAAAAGTTATTTTCCACTCCGGTAAAGGCATTCCCGACCTCCGGCAGGAATGTGTGGAACTACTTACGGCTTCACATCTTTATCTAGATGATGCCAAGAACTTGCGAATACACTATGCTTTCTTCTCGGAAACGTGAAGCACTACGTTCTCCGTATCAGTCAAGACCATGCAATGAGAAGATGGGTGTTGCACAATGATATCATTTCACGCTTTCTGATCACATACAAATGAGCGACATTTAACGATCACACAAGGGAGCATCAGTGATGTGAATGGTGTCAGAATGGGAATGGAAGAAACATAAGTATGTAAACTCCAACAGAATCGCCACGTTTAAGACAAGTGTGACTATCCCCAAGGAAGTTTGACGGTGATAGTCAACTGTTTTTGCACACACAGGTCCGAACGCCTGGGCTTAATTGCCACAGCCTCCGCAAGCTTGAGTATCATGGCGTTTTCATTACGGTAGATAACCGTAAACGCCAAGTTAGAATCAATATGGTGTCCCGTTCCAAGTAGATGTCTGGCTATCTAAGAGGTCGGCAATTTGCATTTTGACTCTTATCCCTGCGATTGTTTTGTCACAATTGTAGCAACCCATTTCGGAATGTGCTCACCGATCTGCTTGCGCAGACACCGGTCTGTTCTGTCGATGCAACTACTTCCACAGTTACAGACAAAGTCGTAGACGCAATGTATTGTGACAGAGACCGATTGCGTAAGCTTAACCGAGGGCGTTGGTAACTTACTGGTTGTCCAAATTGGGCACAGTTTTGCAGCACTGAATGTACGTCGAATTGCTGTGGCAACACGCTGCTCGAGTTGCGTAGACACATCATCCCCTTTGAATGGTGATTGGAAATAGACGGGCATCTTTGACACCGTAGGGGGGCTTTTGTTTGTTCCCTCCCATCGTGCAACCGTGCAATTTAATACACGCTGTCGGGCAGCCATTTGCCTCTAGCGTCTGTGTGATGAACTGCAATTCAACTTCGACACATTCAGGACTGCATACTTTACGAGCTCGCTGGAACAGCGTTTTGACGAGGCAACGTTTTTACCGGACCGGTGTGAAGTTGCTAAGATTTTCGTAAAGTCCCGTCCAAGTGGCCTTTCGGTAGACAGAACGTCGTCTTGAGCCGTCGTCAGTTCTAGTCAAAAGTACGTACACAAAAAGCAGACAATTTTTGTTCTCTAACTCACATGTAAAATGATCGTTGGGGTGTGCGTTGTTCATCACCTCGCGAAGATAGTGGGCGGCACCGATGTTGGGTGCGGTCTCTAGGGTATCGTCAACGTATCGTTTGTAAAGATACATCTGGTCGAGGTGTGAGTCACAGCGTGCTTCAACCATTGACATGAAAATACCTGCTGGCATGGGACCGAGTGGCCCCCATTGCAATGCGGTTCACTTGTCGGCAGGACTCACCTACGAATAATAGATGTACATAGATGTACAGAGAATTATTCATGGACAATATCGGTCTAAGAGGTATGCCAGCCTTGTGGATTTTCGGTGAGCCATACATTTGTGGTGTGTAAATGCCCGTTTGTTTAAGTATGTTGTACATTCTTCCTGTAATCATTCCGTGATGCAGCAATATTTTCAGCCTGCTGGCCACTGACATTTCGATCTAAGTTACGTCGGTCCCATTTTTGTCCTTTTGAAACCTGCACTTATCATCAAGTATCTCATTCATCTTGTTTATGTAATCTGACTTACCCATGATGACGACTCCGGTACTCTTGTCCGGCTTCAGAATTATCATATTCTTGGATTTCAGAGAACTTATTTCTTTTATATGGTGCTTGTCTAGAGTGCAAGTTTGGAGAATCGGCGCCTTCATGAAGCCTAAGTTGTGCCTTCAAAAGTTTCCTTTTCGTTCTGTCAACGACAGTCTTACAGATGAACTTGATGAAGTTGATCCGGCACACTAAAGAGAGTTGACTGGAGATCGTGACACGCCGGTCATGCTTCTCCATCATCAGTTGCGAAAGCATCCTCCTTGCCTCCTCCAGATAGGAATTCAGAAGTCGCTTCCAGTTTGAGATCGTAGGTCTCAAATTATTCCGACGCAAACACTTGCATAAAGCTAAGCTTGTCGACATTGCAAGTGGCTTCATGAAGGGAATGTACATTTCTTATTCAAAGGTGAGTCCTACCGACAAGTGAACCGCATTGCAATGGGGGCCACTCGGTCCCATGCCAGCAGGTATTTTCATGTCAATGGTTGAAGCACGCTGTGACTCACACCTCGACCAGATGTATGTTTACAAACGATACGTTGACGATACCCTAGAGACCGCACCCAACATCGATGCCGCCCACTATCTTCGCGAGGTGATGAACAACGCACACCCCAACGATCATTTTACATGTGAGTTAGAGAACAAAAATTGTCTGCTTTTGTGTACGTACTTTTGACTAGAACTGACGACGGCTCAAGACGACGTTCTGTCTACCGAAAGGCCACTTGGACGGGACTTTACGAAAATCTTAGCAACTTCACACCGGTCCGGTAAAAACGTTGCCTCGTCAAAACGCTGTTCCAGCGAGCTCGTAAAGTATGCAGTCCTGAATGTGTCGAAGTTGAATTGCAGTTCATCACACAGACGCTAGAGGCAAATGGCTACCCGACAGCGTGTATTAAGTTGCACGGTTGCACGATGGGAGGGAACAAACAAAAGCCCCCCTACGGTGTCAAAGATGCCCGTCTATTTCCAATCACCATTCAAAGGGGATGATGTGTCTACGCAACTCGAGCAGCGTGTTGCCACAGCAATTCGACGTACATTCAGTGCTGCAAAACTGTGCCCAATTTGGACAAGCAGTAAGTTACTAACGCCTCCGGTTAAGCTTACGCAATCGGTCTCTGTCACAATACATTGCGTCTACGACTTTGTCTGTAACTGTGGAAGTAGTTGCATCGGCAGAACAGACCGGTGTCTGCGCAAGCAGATCGGTGAGCACATTCCGAAATGGGTTGCTACAATTGTGACAAAACAATCGCAGGGATAAGAGTCAAAATGCAAATTGCCGACCTCTTAGATAGCCAGACATCTACTTGGAACGGGGCACCATATTGATTCTAACTTGGCGTTTACGGTTATCTACCGTAATGAAAACGCCATGATACTCAAGCTCGCGGAGGCTGTGGCAATTAAGCCCAGGCGTTCGGACCTGTGTGTGCAAAAACAGTTGACTATCACCGTCAAACTTCCTTGGGGATAGTCACACTTGTCTTAAACGTGGCGATTCTGTTGGAGTTTACATACTTATGTTTCTTCCATTCCCATTCTGACACCATTCACATCACTGATGCTCCCTTGTGTGATCGTTAAATGTCGCTCATTTGTATGTGATCAGAAAGCGTGAAATGATATCATTGTGCAACACCCATCTTCTCATTCTTTTTCACTCTTTTTTTGTTCGTTTGCGAGATTTTGGTTTTGAGTCGCCACACTGCGTTCACTCCGATGGCTCCTAGGGGCGTTTTATTTTTAAGCCTTATTGTTACTTATCATTTTTTCTTGTTGGCTTTGCTACATGATTGTACTTTTTAAGCTAGTTTTTATTATGTTTAATCTTTTTTGGAATGTTGCCACCATTGGGCTCAAATATCCTCTGAATCATTGCTCGTGTCATTTGTCTTCTTAGTCGTCTTGGACGAGTCCTTTATTGCAGCCCTTCAAATGTACTACGGGCCATTTTGAAAGCTATCTCTATGGCAGTTAGATTTCAACCCATGATGGTCAAGTATCGACCCCGTAGTTCGGCAACGAGCTGCAGACTAGAGTCACAAGCCACTAATAATAATAATAATAATAATGATAATAATAATATGTCAGCTATACGCTGTAACGGCGCTTCGCTGCCGCGCGACTACCACCATTCGCGCGCGGGCTTAGTATACCGCGAAGACGCCCACCCCTACGCGTATTCCAACCGGTGAACTTACGGTTGCAGAGCAAACGTGCAGACCACTCGCCCACCGGCGGTCGTGGGTTCGATTACCTGAAGGATCCAAGGTATGCGCACCACTGAAGTGTCCCAAGTGAATACGACATCCGTCTGGCGCTTTTCCTGGTTGGTAGTTGGCTTATCTTCTTTCACTCCATTTGCGATTTACTAAATAAATCTCACCAAGTCCTTCTACTCATGAGTAACTAGCTACTCCTTCATAACCTACATCGGTTGACTTCCTGAGATCAAACGCCTCACAGCCCTCCATGACCAGTTGTCACTTGATTGGATTGACCCGGCTGCTGAACTCAGCTTCTATTACTGCGCCCTTTGTTCTTCGGAAACTTTTTGACTTGGTTGGGACTTGTTCGGCTCTGCCTTCTGTTTGCTACCCAATATGTTCGACAGGTCATCGGGTGCTTGTGCAATCTGTCGATTAAAGTTCAGCTGTTAATAGGTTATCTGAGCTTGTTAAAATGGTTGCAAACGTTTCTGCACGCTAGGACATAACGTCCTCAGTGCGGTGATGTGAGATGTGCAATCTCACGCACTTATTTGATTACAGTGTAAAAAAATTTTAATTCTACACATGTGTTCTACTCCTTTCCGACTAGGCACTCGGTCATTATGAGATCGTTCGCAGTATCTAAGCTCAGTTAGACAGCCAACATAGCAAGAAAACGCCATATCGCAATTAGAAATCAGTCATTGTGATACACCGCCGTCACCCGTGACTCATTGGCTTAAGTCGCTGACTTATAAGGATAAGATCGTGAGCTTGGAACCAACAGAATCCGATGGGCGGGCCATGCTGACGAGGGCCAACAGGACGAAACCTCCATCGATCGCTTTCATAGAAGTGTGCTAGCTGTCTGACTGAGTCTAGCTGCGACGAACTCTCTCAAAAACGCAATAAATCCTCATCTTCTCCAAAAGACAATTGTTGTCCCAATTGTTCATAGCTTTCTGAAGCTAGAGGTTTGTGCTGACAAGTTTACTACAACGTTTTGTAATCTCACCTTGCCTTCAGTAATGATATAACTTTATGGGCATGTTTTTTATTTACCTACATTTACCATTTTGGGCTCATTGTAGTTCGATGTATACATTGTTGACTAAACTTTTGTCTAAATATTATCAATATTAATGTTATTATTATTGTCTACAGCATGAAGAGAGTGGGAGAGCTGCTGCCAAATGTGACACCAACTCCGTCGATGTGTCTGGATCTCGTACCTGCGGTTGGAGCGAAATTTTTGGATGGATTGTTGATATAGCCCAACAGCTGGTAAACGGGGACACAGAGAAATCGGATATACGTCTTCCTCCTTCTTTGCTGGAAGCCAACCTATTCCGGTGAGCGATATGCTATTTTTTCCTATTTGGATCTGACTCAGGTAGTCCCACTTTTCATGAGTGATTGACGGTTTTGGAATGTTGATTTGCTCACCAGAACACGCAACCTAGCTGCAAGCATTTTATCACTAACCGAGAGAGCATCTTCCGTGCGTACTAGTGGATTGTTTGTTAGCATTTACTGAGCTACAGCTAAATCCGAAGAAGGATGTTGTCTCCTTCAAAATTGACTCTTACAATTCGGACGTTCGTAACTGCGCTTCATCCGGATTGGCTGTTTTTAAGGTACTCACCGATACTTATGCGGTTCCCGTTACTTCCTATGTGACTTGCCGTAACAGCTTCTTGTGAACTCACTGGCGCGATAACGGTGTTCATGAGACTCATCAGTCTTGATACCCTTCCTGCATAACACGGGAGTAAACTGTGTGACCGGGGTACTGTATTACAACTGAGTAAGTAGTCCGCGCGGTGTTAACTTTGGATTGCAGTTATGCATGTTGCTCGCTAGCTCAGCAACGAAGTTGCAAAGTGGTGGAGTGTCTCGCATCCATTGTGGCCTTTTATGTTGTGTCACGCAGGTGCAGTCCCGGGTCTCTTGGGCTCCAGATTTATGTAAGCGAATTTGAATGTTCTCACCATGAGAATAATGCCCGCGATTGATAATAGTGGATGTTAATGTCCGGTGGGGGTAGCTGGAAGGTGATAAATTTGGATAAGTGAATGGGAACATTGCCAGTTAAGAAACGATCCATGGGCACCACCACAACGTTAGGTGAGTTAAAACTAGTACTACTGCGCCAGCAGTCAGTAGTATAAAATTAAAAAGAAAACCATGCGTTGGCGCATGAACATCGGACCTCACCGTCGATTCCCCGTCGAGGCAGATTATTGTGTGCACTTTAATGGTGACCTACTTTCTACGAACATCATTCACAAAAATCCACAAGTAATAAAGAACACTTGGGAACCCAGATGTCCGTGCAATAGGAATAGATAGCGACGTCACGCACCACACAACCTCTAGGAGAGTTCGAAGATGAATCGAACGATTTGTGGTCAGAGTTGTTGCGGTTGATGATATTTGCCACAGTAGGTAACTCCATTCTCACCTCGAGTCCTTACAGTGTGAATGCACTCCGGCCTGCGACCTCCACTAGGACCGCGGTTTACTTGAGTTCTCTTTAATTTCTCTACCTACGCTCGATATCTAAAGCAAACTCTTCTCCTGTGGTACCATAAGCCTACGTCATCTATATCGAACGGCTTCACTGACTGTCATTAGTCGTTTTCACAGTTGCTTAACTGTTACGTGTCCCGTCCGCGTGATAATTGGGATCCTTCCTTAGCTGAAAGTAGTTGAAAATACCTTTATGTACTCATAATTGCCTGCGTGTAGCACATCTTTGAATAAAGTGCACAACGTTCAAGCCTATCTGTGACATTTTTAAGTTCAGTGCCCAATCCCAAGGTGGCAATAGTGTATGCAGCAGGAACTGGCAGCTCTACTCTGTTACTGCTGGGATCGACCATGTGCAGTTTTCAATGTCAAGTTATGCGGTCTAGTGGATAGCCTGTTGTAACGGCATTTCGAATGACGGGGGGGAGGGAAAGCAGCTGAAATTTGCTGGGGACTTTAGTCACGATATGATGACAACACATTCGGTTATAGTAGGACACTTAACTGGTGCAAACGCACAAAAGACGGTCATACGTCTGTTACTGGCGACCCTGATCAGGGTGGTGAATCCCAGTCCACAGCTGCCATTCCTAAGAATATTCAGCGTCTTAACAACCGCCGCATAGCTTATCGTGAAACCCCAAATGTATTGTCTTTCGTTGAAACCTGTGAACACAATAATACAAGACCATCTGCTGCTCCGAAAAGTGTGCGTTCCATTGATTCCAAGAAAGCTTCCAGCTTTTGACCGGCACAGACAAGTTCAAGTCTGCAAGGCTGATTTAGTGAACCATTAGGAAATAAAAGGTCGGTCCTTCCCATGTCACCTATTCACATCCTCCTTACAATTCTGACTTAGCGCTAAGTGATGTTCATTCTTTTGGACCTCTTTAGTGGGCCACAGTGATGTCGGAGTGTTTCAAAATGCCTTACACTGGTTCAAACGTACAGATAAGCTTTTCTGTGTTGAAGCCTACCAAACAATAGCGCAATGCTAGTCTAACTGTACCAGAGGACCTATTAAAGATAAATACCGTTACCACTTAGCGAAATAGGTAAATTTTTCTATTCAAAACGTCTACATTGACTTACATTATTTTTTTACTGACACACTACCGGCAATGTTTGCGACACGATAATAGTCCTCCAATCTATCTCTAACCGATCGACACCTGTTGAGAGTTGAACAGACAATCAACGGGATATCCTTGCATGCCATTGGCTGCCTCATCTGGCAGCTTCTGTGGAAAGGACCTATCATAGGACACGTGTACCTACTGAAGAGTCATGGGTCATTTACGCAGCTCCATCTACACTGTAGACCTGATGAACGAAGAGTAACACACATGCGGCTGAAAGCCACAATTGTTCTGAGCCAGCCGGAACTTTCTACACCCATCGCCGATGTACTATTTGGGAAATTATGCGTGTCACTTATGAGCAGAGAGGTTGTTTGGCCGTTGCTCCTTCCACCATGGACACACTATTGAGACCTAACATTTTCGTGGGTCGTGCCGTGAATTCTTTCTTCCCCATTACCGGTTAACGGTCTTTTGTGTTCAGTAATCCAGTTACCGGCATCGGACGAGTGGACACCGCGAGTACAGAACTTAGCCAGCTCTGAGAGTACACTAGTTCGATCAGCGTCCAGCGCGCACACACACACCACTCATTGAAGCGCGGTCCGAGTGGAGTGAATAGGTGTGCTCACACATCTACCAAGGTAGGCTTAACGAACAGCCAGCTGTATTTGAATGTATAGCAGTGGGTGTTTGCGATCGATTACCATGACCACCAGTAGTCTAAGCATGCGTGGCCACTGCTGGCGCATTAAGACTCTGAACGACTCATGAGGATTTACTCGGTGCCGATGGTTAACAATTACCTTGTGACGGCCGATGCAGCTCAATTTCCCGATTCACCTCATTCCTTCGTTATAGGCCTCATCCGACTGCGTAACCACTTTGGGATGTGTTAAGCACGGCCCTTAGCCGATAAACGGAGCAGAACGCGCGCGTAGTTTGGAACCGATTTACTTAAGCCATCCTGCTTTGTAGTGGCTAGAAAAGCTGGAAAGGAAAATCAATGAAATAAGGAGTAAGGCGAGATCATTCTCAACCAATCATGTGAGAGCCTGTGTTCACGAATGGATACTCAAGTGCATACGTGTCCCCGCTCTCTTCCTGGTCAAGACTGCAGACTCCGGGCTGATAACAATCAATTGGCTTAGGCGTGCGTTTTGAGCGTCTTAATTGTGATTGTACCGCATCCTGTTGTGGTTTCTGGTTTTATGAAGCAGATTCTCCGCCCGTTTTTGGCTCAATAGCAGTCACTTTTTGATCCCACTCCTGTGGTTCGTTTGAGCGTGGCCGGATATGGTCAAAATGGCGACGCACCACACGGCCGCCCTCCAGCTGTAGTTTCGCCTGGCAATTCATTGAGGACATGAGTGTAGTAGATTGCCAGCTTGTTTCATGAGGCAGTCTTGCGTATACCGGATCAAAATCATTCAAGACACATTTCCTCTGACATCTTTTCATCCACATACATTTTCTCCTGCTTTTTCTCCATTCTCCTTCGAGGGTTCGGAAATAGTAGGTGCAGTCTCGCTCGTAGTGGCCGACCAAACATTAATTCCCCAGGTGACTTCCCTGTCGACTCAGTCGGTGTCATGCTGTAAGAGAACAGGAGACGATCCAATTTACTTTGTGGTTCCATGAGTCTGCTTGAGGAGACCTTGGTTAACTGCCTGAACTGCACGTGCTGCCATTCCATTCGACACTTGATGGTACGGCGCAGACTTAATGGGCTGTATTCCGTTGTTACTCATATACTGTTGAAGCTTTTAACTGGTAAATGGGGTTCCGTTGTCGGTGCATACCGTCTCTGGGATACCGAAAATGACGAATATGGAGCGCATTTTCGCAACTGTTGCTGCGGAAGTCGCATGTGGAACCGGATGTACTTCTATCCATTTAGACTGGACATCAATCCAAAGCAGACAAATTAACCCATTGATTGGGTCAAAGTAGTCCGCGTGTACTCGCTGCCAGGGCCTCTCCAGCCAACGCCATGAACGTATCGGTCATGGGAGACTTTTTCCTTTGGTATTTCTGACATTGTTCGCAGTTTTTCAACAGCCACCCTATATCCTGGTCAATGTTCGGCCACCAACAGTAAGCACCTGCCAGCGCCTTCATCCTCCTCACGCCGGGGTGTGCATCATGTAACTCTCTCAGCAACTGGGGCCGTAGTTCTTCTGGTGGAACTATGCGCGAGCCACGAAATATACATCCGTCGTGTAGACTCAACTCATTGCTCCGAACGACGAATGGTTTCACTTCGTCTGACATGCTTGTAGGCCATTCAGTCATCAAGAACCGTTTCACCAGCAACAACACAGGGTCCCGGTCCGTCAAGCGCCGCATCACGTCACTCCGGATGTGTGCCTTTTCAAGATGCTGCATCAAATTGGTAAATATAGGTTCACTATTCGTTTTTGTGCCATGCTGCTGCGGGAGGCGACTAAGTACATCGGTAATGATATTACTTGGTCCGTTCACACACTGAAGTTTGTAGTTATAGGCGCTCAAAAGTAGCGCCCACCTTTGCATTCGAGGCGAAGACATCTATTGGATTCCTTTCTCCTCATCCAGAAGCGAAAGTATTGGTTTATGGTCGGTGTGGATTTCAAACTGCCTTTCCCAGACGTACTGGTGGAAATGCTTGACTCCGAATATACTCGCAATGGCCTCTCTGTCCAGTTGGGAGTAATTCTTTTCAGCGGGTTGCAGAGTACGAGAAGCAAAAACTATTGGAC